CTCAACCCCCCTGCAAAATATCCCCCCCAAACCAGGGAAGGCTGATCATCGGTATCAACTAGAACAAGTGACTAAATCAAGCAAGGCATTATCCCATGGCAAATAAATTCATCCACTTGATCAGAAAAGCTCCTTTCCTAAACACAGTGCCATTTGGTAATTACACATTTAAATGATTTGCTCTAAGTGTGGAGAATCAGTTGTCAAGGCAGACCTGAGCTTTTCAAACCATTCTGTTCTGTTCTCTCTGTATCTCTGTATCACCGTCCAGACATTTGGGGCCTCACTCAGAAAGTGGTAGGTGCAGTAATTAAGGTTGGAGACAACTTCTGAGGGAGAGCATGGACTTCTGAGCAGTTACTGTGAAACTAGGAGCAGAAATTGGTCTGCTCCCAAAGGTAGGATATACTATATTCACTATAAACAAATCATCTATCCCAGTTCTGATTTCTCCATGGTCTGACATTGATGTCAGGCCCTGAACTTGCTGATCGTCATCAATGGACAAGCAAGAAGGAAATCGGGCACATAGCTTTCAACTTTCACATGCTTACAGCCAGCTTGGCTCTGCCATTCACTGCTCCTTGGGGAGATCCTACTGAAGTTTTTCAGATAAGGCTGCTAAACCAACTCCCATGGCATTCTGACCCATGCCCTAAAGCCTCATTAATATCTGGGACTCCTTCCAGACCCACCCTGCTAGCACCAAATGGTCCGCGCTCTACCAGCTTATTCTAGAGAAGTTAGCAAGGCTTCAGGACAGCCCAAGCTTTGTAGGATTGTTCAGACTTGTGAAACACCTATAGAAGCTTTAAAAGAACCTTTAATTCCTTGTCAAAGTGTCATCCTTCACAAAGAATTAAAACAGAAGGGAAATTACAATGAACAAAATGGAATCAAAAAATTAACATTCCCCCTTGTGTTTGAAAAACTGTGGGGGAAGTGGATAGCATTTAATGTATAATGAGCACCCACAACCTTCAGAGAGCTTGGAAATCTTGACTATTAATTTCATCTTCTTTTTTTCCCCACTTGGAACAATGGAAATATTTTCTACATGTACATTTTCAGACCCTTGTTCGCTGTTAATTTTCTCTGTATCCTTTGCAACATCTTCCTCCTCAAGTTTGTCAGTCACTGCCACAGAGATTCAGCAAGGCTGTCTTGTAATCGCCACTGGTGTCATCCTGACAAGAGAGAAAATTAAAAAACAAGTGAGCATGGAAGTTCCTCTATATGCTCCAAGTGCTGACTTTGTCAGTCTGTGAAATATTCCCACACAGGAAAAGGACTTTGGAAAGAGCAAGCCAGACTTTAGCAGAGTTACTGCCAGCTGACGCATCATCAAAAGTGAATGGAGAAATGAGGCTTGTAGCTGCCACCTGAAATAACATTTATCAAGTCTAATTCTTTCCTTTGGAATGAAGGTGAGCAATTGATCAGGGTTCTGTCCTGCAGAGCAGCACAAAGTCAGCACAAATGAGAGCAATTAAGCCAGTTGTGTTCAGATTTTATATCCATGCATATTTGTGTACCATCTCTTCCTTACAGGAAGGGAAAGGGTAGTAGAGACATGGGCTTTTTTTAAAAAGCCAAAAATAAGGTCATTTTTATCTGGAAACACCACACAAAATATTCACTAGATAAAAAAATTTTCTCCCTTTGAATGTTTTGTGATGACAGGTGTAAAGCAGTTCCACTTCTCAGAAGGAATGGATATGCTGTACAGATCCTTGAAAACTGATCATTAATCAACATGACAGACTCTGACAGTGTCAATTACAAGAAAGGGCCTTCATTACAGAACCATTACTTCCCATGGGGACTGCTTAGGATAGGGCTTCTGTGCCATTTACACAGGGGGAGAGGAATGTCCCGAGTCCTTAGGACGAATGGTAAAAAACAACATTTCAGCCCTAAGAGGGGAGGCACATTCACTCAATTCACTGAGACTCAAATGCTACAATAAGCTTTGACAAGGTTCAGTTTCTAAACCTGTCTCATCACAGAACAGACCAGGCTTTCACCTGGGGTAAAGACAGCTAAAAAATTCCAAACAACAACAACAAGAAAAAAAAAGAAAACAGACCCCCCCCCCCCAACTCCCCCAAGCACTGTTTTTGACTCATGTGGCACTGGCTTGAGGTAGTTAAGGACAGCAGAGAGGGAACAGAAAATGGCACAGCAGTGTGGGATAGGTGTAACAATTTAGGTTCATCTAGAAGGTCATGCAGTGCATGGATACAGGGTCTTGTCCATGAAAAACCTGGCACAGTCTCTTCTTGGGTTTGCTTTGCCCAAGTCACTTGTGGAGCATACAGTCTGACAACCTGACTCACCTTTCAAGCATATATCTCAAGAGGATGATTGTTAATAGGCCTAATGAAGGAGAGCCATGATCATAGCCAAAATGTCATTGTTACTGCAAACAACCATGGAAGAATCCCACAGTGCTGGACAGGTCAGGAATACATGTAATGGCTAAGAATCATCATATCAAGATTATGCTTACCAAAATCATACTGGAGAGAGACTTTCCTGCAATACGCTTGAATTCAGGCTTTATAAGATTTAGGTCAACTTCACTTCGAGAAACAATCACTCTTATAAGAGTTCCATCATCTGTGCCAGCCCCCTGGAATAACAAATATGTCAGTCTGTGATGTTAATGGGTGTTCAAGGGATAAGCTGTGCAAACTGGTCCAGGAAAGGAGGAGTCAGCTTTGAAACATCACTTGTCCTGCAGAACATCTGCATCTTTTTCCAGAGGGCCAACCCTCATACCCCTCCCAGAGGCCACCATCAACACCACATGCCCACCATGGAAGTGTGATACAAGTTCTGTTTATGTCAAATGCAAAACCAAACATGCTACACAGTCAGAAGTCGGCACTGAATACACATTGTGTAGCATCGTCCATGCAGTGTTTGGCTTCAACCAATATTGCTTAATCACTCACAGGAAAATAAAGATCACATCTATAACAAAACAAATCAGTTATCTCAGCTTTCCAAAAAGTTGGGAGAGCTGACATCTTTTACATATCAATTAAGCATTACAGGGGCACAATCTGCAAATGCCTTCTGTGCCCCCATTTAGAACTCTCATTTTATACTGCCCTTGAGAGAGTTGCTTCCTGAAAAGAAAATACTGCGTTCCAGTCTATTAACACAGAAGGCAAAGCTTCACCATAATCAACTCCCTAGAAAACCTTTTTCCAGAGGTTTTGTCTGTGTTCCAGATAGTGGAACTGGGCTTCTTGCAGACTCTTAAATCAGAAAAACCAGACTCCCTTGGTATCTCAAGCTTAAAGGGTACTTCTCTACCCAAGGTGTTTGAAGGAATTCTGCTACTTCTGGCAAGAATTGCACGAAACTTACTGAATTTCACCAAAACTTTGACTCTTCTAGTTTGAGCTGGTGGAAGCCAGTTTACAAGTTAAGTCTAATATGAAAAAAAGCGCCTCACAATGAAGAGTCTTACCTTTAAAGCATGGTACAGCCTCTCTGCAAAGTAGCAGCGGATGTTCCTGGTGCATTTCACTAGACATACAAAAGGGCTCAGTAAGAATCAATGGTAATTCTAGCCCAGGGCAGCAGGTGACAGAGATTCAACATCATTTCCATTATTTCAGTGTGCTCCAAGAATCTGAGTTTATCTTACCCAAGAGGCACCCTTTACTGACTACCAGATACCTTTATAAAGTAGATCCACCTCATAACAGTCAGCTACTGCAGGAGAAAAGGCAGCAGATTCAGATAAAGCAAAGGGAAACATCATCACTCTTACCAATAGCCAGCATGGCATCCTCAAGTGAACCACGAGTTTCACTCTTGATAGAGTCTTCTATGCTCTTACCAGCCAGTTTCTGGTATTCTTCAAACACTGTTTGAAACACAAAGAACTTCAATTTTTTACCAAGCAACCTCTGAGACATTTTGTGCCCAATATTTGCAGGCACTGCCTATGTGGTTATGTGAACACACGGATCCTGCTAAAGCAATGGCCACATTTGCACCAGTAGGAGGCTTTAGTCAACATCAGAAATAAGCTACATAAATGGATGGCAATATTCACAAAACCTAAACCATCCCTGATTCTTAATTTCCTGCCTTCATTTCAAAATGCAGTTTCAGTCATCTCAAGTTCATATGGAAATCTGACCCTTCACTGCTGTCTTTAAACACGGAAATGAAGCAGACCCCAGAAAGTTAGGCATACCTTTGGTCTTGTGGTTGGTGACATCATTACCTTCAGGAGCCAAAATAAAATCAACTTAAATCTAGGACTATGCTGCTTATGGCCCATGGACTTTAAAATGATGACTACACTCTTTGGGAAAACTTATTATTTCAACCACAGTTTAAAAAAAAAACAACTGAGAAAAGATGAGCAAAACACAGGTGCATATTCCAAGATATTTGAGTTCCCACATTAACAAAAGCTCAGCAACAGAGTTGTTCCTCTCCTTACACATTTTATATACTCCAGGATTCAGAAACATAGATATCTGATTTTATTCCTAGCTTTCAGACTAACAGCAAAGGAAAACTTCTATGTAATGCAATGGACATCTTAATAAACTTTGCTCAGCATCCAAGATCATCAACACTCAATACACTTTGAGGAAAGGAAATACAGAATAGACAGATGGATACAACCTTCTCAACTCAGGCCTACTCTTTCAATTAAAAAAAAAATTAAAAAAAAAAAGAAAAAGGCTGCAACAATTGCACTCAAGTTTTAAAGACAATCAGCTCCAGGCTGCCATAGCACAGAGGAAATTGCTTGATGCCACAGTAGGTTTCAAAGATTTGTTGCATTATGACAACATCTAGATGAAATTCAGTTTTTTAAAGGCAGATGCAGACAAAGACTCTAGAGGCCACTTTTTTTGGTGTGTTTATTTTTTAAGTGACCTTGGGAGATTGAATTTGAAACACAAGGGGGAGCTGGTTTCCAGGATATAGAAACAGCCTCAGAAGACCTCAGCTTGAAAAAGTTCAGGCATACTTAATTTATCACCAGCTAAATTTATCAGTTTAGGTCCAGCTGATTTACATAGTATTTGATATGCTTAGGTTAAGCCAACATAACAATATCTGTTAAGTCTCAAAAGTCTTGAGATGACAAGGTCAAGTCTCTGCTGCATGGACAGTGAGGAGCTGAGGTCTCTCTTAGCTAGAGAAAGGTTAGTGTCTTCCCTCCCAGCAGTCCCTGATGCTCTCAGAACCTGGAGCAGAAATGCAGATTGCACCCTGAATAACAAACTACTTTTTTAGTGATGTCCACCACATGCTCCTACTTGGCTAGAAAGGGACTCACTCACTTAGGTTTATAAAAACAACTATACCATCCTGTTATTAACACTGTATAAAGGACTCCTAGATAAGCCACTTGGTTTTCAGCAGAACTACATCATCTTTCATAAAAGCTGCTGGCAGCTTTTGGCAACGGAGTGACCAAGAATTAGAAAATAGACTTAGGCACTTATTTCTCCCACCTATAGCCCTGTCTCTTCTTTTTGGCTAGAGTGATTTCTCATTCCAGGGTTTGGAAGTGTGGGCTTTGCTCCATACCTTTCAGTAAGTGTGTGGCACTCCTTTTGCACAAGATGGTGATGAACTGTATCTCATCAGTGCCCCTTATCTTCTCTCCAGCAGCATAGAGAGTCTATAATTTAACACACAATTATTAGTGAGATGTTCTGTGTGTGCAATTGGTAAAGGAACAGAGTTTGTCTGAAGGCCTCGCTAGGTTAAAGAGGTTTGAAGTAACCTATAACACTGTGTGAACTAGAGTCTTCCAGAATGGTTGATTATGAAAACCTTTGACTATCTTCTAGACAAATTGGAGCAGCTGCTATTGCCATCTTTTCCATCTGTCCTGCAGCAGCTGGAGCAGCCAGCAATACTCTGGAGGTTTCTTCCCTGTTCTTTCCTCTTTCACTCCACCATACCCACATACTTCACATATCAAAAGCAGTTGAGCACAAGCCCAGGTTTCATCAGTCCTCTTTGGAATGGCAAAACCCAGCAGTGCAGACAAAATTGAAGAACCCCAAGTTGCTTACTTGAAGATCTCTCCACCCCACACTATTGTGAGTCCAACCTTCTGATAATCAGGACTCTATTGCCTGCTGAAGCACTCTGAATTTCAGGAACTGGGTGGGGAGGGGATGCAGACATATCTGAGGCATATCTAGCATATCTGCAGACATATCTGATCACGAGCATTTGAGAGTACCTCTGCATCCTGGAGAGCCAGGGCTGTGTCCACATAGAGAGTGGCATTGTCTCTCTCACCCTGTGAGAAGAAAAAGAAAGGTAACCATTTTGTGTCAAAGATTCTTCCATCAATAACGATCACAGCATCCATTCTGGGCAAAGATCAATTATCCTTCTCAGCTATCTATTTCTGCAAAGTACTGAAGCAGTAATGCTTCAGACAGCACAAGGGCTAAGTCCTTCACTGAAAGGCACTGAAACCAGTCATATAAAGTGGAGTAAAAAAATTCCTCAATTATTCTGCTGATAAGCAGAAAAATTGAGAAAATGTGATAGAGTAAATGCATCCAAAAACACTCAACATCAAGGGCACAGACACTGGAAAAGTGGTGAATCATAGTGGAGGGCCATTATTTCCTAAGACTCATGTAGAGTGCAGTGGCTTTACACATACAGAAAAGTGAGGTGTCTCCCTGCAGCAGAGCTGGCTCCAAGTTTCCAGCTTATTGCTGTTAAAGGAGGGAGAGTTCCCTGCTTCGGTACATGGAGACAGATCCGGTCCAAGTGACATTGTTGTCTCCGCAGTTTATCTGGAGGTCATGGCTGTACTGGCTCTTCTATTGCACGTCTTCTCAGAGAAAGAGGAGGAAAATGTGATGATCTTTATACCCTCATTTCTCTTCTCTAGCATTACCTGAAGAAGGCAAACGAGAATCTGTTCTAAGTAGCCACTTGTTTCCGATTTTATATCCTCTTCCAGATCAGAACCGTATTCTACCCAAAGGAAAGAGAAGGATTAGGGAAGGATTTGTTATTTGGGTGATATAGTCAAGATATTTCCAGTAACCCAAGGACACTGGCCAAGAAGGTAATTAGGGAACAAAATAGGGCTGAGACCACACCCTTAGTGATACCTAGGTTGGCATTTGCATCCAGCTGAGTCCCTACATTCCCTGAGGTCCAAGGAATAAACCCAGAGCTAATGTTAGAGGTATAGTTGAAGGGACCAAAGAGATCAAATATTTACAAATACATATTTAATAAAATCCCATCTATGTAATGGGGAGAATCAGCCAAGTGCACAGCTATAGTTCTGCTTGTGTTCTGACAATAGCCCTTGTGGCCAAACGGAGCCAAATCTGTGGTTTGCTGGCCCTCTGCTGTAGCTGGATGAAGACCTAGAAAGGGATTTTCAAATTGTCTCAGCATAGCCATGTTCTATTTGTCAGGCTGAAACCAGAGTTAGATTGCACCTTCTGGCTTTTAAAAAAGCCGTTTTCCTGCTGACAGTGCTAGCTGGTAACACCATTAGTGCTGTGCAATCAGGCTCAGTGCTCTGACCACAGAAATCTGAGCCCCAGGCACTTACCTTCTTTGTAAGCCTTGATTATCTCTTTGATCTGTGCTTTAGTCCGAGATGCCAAGATCTCTATGATAACACCTTTACTGGTTCCCACACCCTTTAATAGAAAACACAGTGGAGAAATAAAGGTGGAGAAAAGGATCTAGTCATTGAGTGTGATTTATTGCTAGAAAAATATGGTCAAGGGAGGAGCTGGAAAGCAGCAGTGTCAGGCTCTGTGCTGAGCCTTAAGAAACTGTCATGATGAAAGCTGGAGACTCAAAACACATTTGTTTTGAACATGGTTTCTTTTACTGAGGTGCCTAATTAGTAAAGGATGACTTTATGTAACCCTACACTTCTGCAATGCATTTCTGGAGTCACATCTTTGAGAACAGACAGCATTAGAGGAATGTGGGGAGACCAATGCTTGGCTAGACAGTCCATCTTTGTACCACTTGAATAGGCCACTCTGCATCTGAAACTTGTAAAAATACAGTACCAACAGGTAGGATCCCTTCCAAACCCAGCCTGGCCCTTGCACCACCGCTTCTTAATTTCTTAAAGGTTTCATGGCTCAGGTGGGGCGTCAGGGCATCAGCTTTGTGAGTGAATTTAGAATCACAGAACATTCTGAGTTGGAAGGGACCCACAAGGATTTTCAAGTCCAACTCTTCAGTCAATGGTTCCTCCAGAGACTGAACCCATAACCTTGGCATTATTAGCACCAGGAGCCTGAGAATGCAACAGCAAAACTATGAGACACGCACGTATAGGAATTCTTTTATAGCCATAAGTATTAAAGCAGCATTTCCTCCCACAATATGCATTATTAATACAATTAACTATTTCTCAAAGGCTACTGCTAATAACAAACTTAACAACATAACAGCCCACTTATTACCGATTGCATTAATAATAAGCACAATTACAGGAAATCAGCACTGCATTTGCACTACTACTTAAATATCAGCACGCAATTTGCTTACCTTCATGGCATCATAGAGCTCCTTGGCATCGTACTTGAAGGGGGGGTACATTAGAGCTACAATGAGCCTCTCAAAGTTGCCGCTCAGTTCAGACTTCAGACTTTCAATTAGATCCTGTTAAATATGCATCACATAGTTACATAAACAGCATCATAGGACCTTTTTAATGCTCATGCTGTTTCCATCCCCATGGCCTAAGTAATGAAGCTGAAAGACAGTATTGTGTTGATTGTTCATTAAAAAAGGTCCTGGGACTGAAAAGACACCTAACTCCAAAATGGGATTTGTCTAGGTCCTCCCGCGTTCCCTGTTTTCTCAATATTTAAGCTTCTCCCAGGTAGTAAATCATCCTGCAGCAAATCTTTCTCCACCCTGTCCTAGTTAGTGAGCAGACCAGGCAGCTGAAGGCCTTGAATTGAACAGGGGTATAGCTTCAGGGAAAGCTGATTTCCAAAGCCTGCACATAAATTTGCACCCAGGACATTTGCAGAATCAGGCATGTAGTTTGCTTGAAGATACACTTCAAGCTTTCCTTTCTCTACAATGCAGGTTTTTCTAAGGTATGACTCTCTTTGTTTTAGCAGGATGCAAGCATTGTATTTATTCATTGTTCCATACTTGCTTCCTTTTCTGAGGCCCTTGCATGGCAGTCCCCTTTCCAGCAAGGGTCATTGGAGGCTCCAGAGTAGGGCTGGTAGCGCAGTTTGCTTGTGGAAAAGTTTTCCCAATAAAAGTAAGATTTTTATCGAAGAAACAAAGAGAGCCACAGGAAAACACGGTTGTCAATAACCATAGATCATTTTCATTTTCAGAATTTCTAAACAAGTGTAATTAAGTAAGTCTTTAAATTGAACTTTCCATGACACTTAAAAAGGCCTGAAATCAAACCAATATTTTACTCAAAAGGTCACTTAAAAAAGTATCAATTTTTGGTACACTTCAAAAACAATAAGAAGCTACACTCTAAGTTAAAATTGATTTTTTAAATGCGTTCTTGGTCAAAATGCTTTTTACAAAAAAATTTAAATCTCTGGGAGAAAACCAAGTTTTTCTGATAAAAAATTAATTTCTCACATTCATCCCAGGCCTTAGATATTATTCTACTTATTTGCAGAAGACCTGCATATTGTTTGCAACATGCTTGCAGGATGAACTGTACACCCATTTACTACATCCTGGCTGCAGTAAAATACTGCTTGAATATGTCTTTGTTTTAGAAGAACCTTTCCAAACTGTGCTTTGAAGGATTTGGCAATCTCTTGACGCTGTATATTGCTCCTCTTGGTTAGGACATCAATTATAGCTTGTTCATCGGTCCCTGTGGAGAGCAACAATAAGTCATAAACAAAGGTCACAGAATAAGCTGAGACTAGTCCAAAATCCCAGTCTGAATATCCAGATAACTTTGCTTAGTTCATTGCCTTCACGTAGAAGTTTAAGTACATACTAAGGAAACTTTAATTTTTCACATGAAAAAAAGTGATATCTATGGATGCAAATTTCCTAAGGAATTGCTTTCAACTTAGCAATTATAAGCAAAAATAGAATTTACATATGCAGTTAGAGTCCACTCACCAAGCCCTTTCATGGCCTTGTACAGAGTCTGGGCATCAGGTGCAGCATCAAAGTGTAAAGCACCTGCCACAGGCCTGCCTTCTTCTTCACTCTGAAAGAAGAAAAATACAGGATTTTTCACGGCTGTATTTCATCAGCTGAAGAAAAAGCCTTTGGAAAGTACAATAATGCTATTTATTGCCTACACATGGGGAAGGCCCAGAAAATAGGAGAGACTGTTTCAAAGTTTCACAGCAGAGCAAAAAGAGAACACAAGTTTCTCTCCGAAGAGAGCACAAGTTTCCTGTCTCCACCTGTCTCTACCAGCCTTTGGCTCCCGGCAGAAACATGAAGTGTAAAGCATGGCTGACACTGCTGCAAGAGTCAGCAGGCAGTGCAGGCAATCTGGCAGAAAAACCTCAGACTGTAATAGATTGGACTTTCCTGTTCACCCCCTAAATACAGTGTTTCACAGCATGTATGTTATGACATGATACTGCATTTCCCAAAGGGTTGGCGCAGGGTAGTTTTTAGATAGTTTTTTGATTTCCTGGAGCAGTCTTGCTCTCACAGACCATTTTTCTAAGTAGCTGCTGCTGCACTTCTGCACAGTTGGTTCCAGGAAGGAAGCATCTCCACTGGGAGGATTTGGGCTAAGAGACTATTTTGAAGGAAGAGATCCATCTGGAGGAGTGCAGGTTTCATGCTCTTTGCTGTACCAAGGGCCAACTACACAAGAATCCTCCTGATAGACCCCTGAGGTGCCAATAGTGCCAGAGTCCCAGGGCAGAAAGACACAATGAGACTTATTTCAGTCACCACAAGGTAAGCAGGGCCATCAAACAAAACCCAGGCATAAAAATGTTTAATTTAACATAGCTTTTAGTCAAGGGACTGGCTTGGATATATTGTCAAATCTCTAACAAGCTGGTCCTATCAACAGGGGAGTATGTGGGTAGATAGGCACCACTGTCTACCACCATTTTATTCCAATAATGGTCAGTTTTCTCTTTCTTAGCAGCAAAGATATTTAAGTTGGAAACAACTATATTCTCATAAATTTACCTTCAGAGGTAGTGTTATTATTGAAATAATGGTATCAGTATGACCTGCTGGATTTTTCAGTGGGGGTGACTTCATAGTCAGATAAAAATCAGAGCTCACAGACCAGAATGAATCACTGTGGTTGTCCTATCTGACTTGCATAATTTGGACCACCAAATGCCATCCACCAGCCTCCTGCCATGATGCCAATACCCCCTGCTCTTGTTTCCTGTGAGTACCAGTAGATACAGCTGGCACACGTTGGCATGCTGGCCCCTTTGCCAGCCAAGCTCCGAGAGCAGTGACAAGGGACCAAGAGGCAACTCTGAGGATTGAGAGAGGCAGTATGTTCATCAATCAGAAAGACTTGGAGAAGTTTGTTTTACAGCCAGCACAGACTCCTGCACTACCACACCTTGTCCCAGCAGAAAGAGCAGCTCTGAAGCAGATGGTGTCAACAGGAAACTTCTCAGTAGATGAATTCAAATAATCACTGAACAGCAAGTTTAAGGCTGTGGTGAAGCTGTCACTGCAGAAAAAGCAGTGACAGACTATGCAGTATTGCCATCTCCAACAGTTTGTCATTGGCCTAGAGGTGTTTGGCTGAGCTGGCAGGTGCACCTTTTGTAGCCCTCTGTTAAGACAGCCAGCACCTTCACAGCTTCCCTGTAAAGCAGGTTGCACTCATCCATGTGATTTTGCTCTGAAAAAGATGGTCAGTGCTCTCTAGCTGAATTCAAGCAACATCTGAAAAAACCCCCCAACATTCTGGACTCATGCCTGGTGACTCAGTCAAAGAGGGAGTGCAAAGCTGAGTTTTCATTTGGAGGCAGTGGAAACAGATTAAACAATGATCTCTTTTGGTGCTATTTCCAATAAACAGTTACGGCCCTTCCTGGGTCAAGTAGCACACTCGTGACTCACTCATACACCTCATTCTCCATGTACGTGATTGGTGCAGCACAGGTGCAATCACATCAGCTTTTCAGAGAAACCCTGTTCAGTTTGGTCTTGTTCCCCAGTTGAATTGATCCTACAACTACCTAACCGAAACTACTCCAGGCATTTGTGTCACTCTTAATGTAAATATGAATAATTGGAACGAAAGCAGTAGAATCAGAGTACCTAACAGCTGATGCTTTGAAAAGTTTTACCTATAAATGAAAGGAAGAAGGATTAAAAGCTTTACTACCAAAATATCTTCAAAACTAAACAGTAGTTTATTGAAAAGCTGGAATTTGGGGACAGGCATGGTTACATTTTGGGTTTTTCTCAGTAGCAAGTTTCTCAGAAAGTTTCACACTTTTTAATTATTTTCTTTTTTTTTTTGCCTTTGTACTATATTTTTTATGAAGAGTTTAGAAAACCAAACCAACTTTCTCCCATCCTTCCTTGGGCCTCTCTCATTTTCTTTTCATGCCTCCACCCCTACAACACCAACTAGCAAGAAATCACTGCAGTTTTCAAGGGTTTTTCTCCTTCTTTTCTCATTCTAAGTTTAGAAATTATATCCAACTTGAAGTAGTGGGGAACAGATCAGCAGAAAGGGAAAAATTAAAGTGAGAGCTACTCCAAGCTTTGGAAAAGCATCTATTTGATTATACTAAACTTCCAAAAGGAAAGAGCAAGGCAGAGGGAACTCAGCAGAAAGGAAGATTACAACTTTAATCTTTTTTTGGGGAAAAAACCCCATATATTTTGAGATTCAGAAAGTTTACTATCTGAATCCTACTGAAGGAAAGTAGGAATTAGTTTGGCAATCCCTATTCCACAAGGTATTTTGGGTTTAGTTTGGTCTTTTTCCTCTGCTTCTTGCCCCTCGGTTGCAAAATTGTAACTGAGAACCTGAAAAATCGGTCATGTCCATGCAGAGTAGTTCCTCCCTCCTTGATGGCTGCATTGCCTTGGAGGCAATATAATACACTAAGACAGACCTCCTGTGCTTCCCAGGTACCTCTGCTGGCATGTGGCAGGAAGGTCCCTCACCCCCCACGCAGGCACCAGTGTCACTACCCCAGGTGGGAGAGGAGCAGCAGCACTGGAGCCTCGGTGCAGGTTTACCCTTTGCAAAGGCTGCTTAAACATCAAGCTGTCTTCACAACAAGAAGTGAGGGGACTCTGGGACAAATCTTTCCACAAACAAGCCAAAAGCATTCCAGAGAAAGCCTGTGCACTACTGGCAGAGGTGCTAGGCAGGGATTGGAACAGTGAAAGAAGACTTCTCTACCAGTACTCCTCCACTGCATGTCTCCAGCAGGTCTCTTCTAGGTTTTGGCTTATAGCTATCTGAAGATGAAATCTGGGGGTAAAACATGGCCTCCCACAGAGGCTAATGGGAGAGCTGCCATGGATGGCAGCAGAACTGGGCACATCACCAGAGCTACCTGCTGCCTGGCCTGAGCTCGACCCTGGAGGCTGCCTCAGCACACCCCATGAGCATCTCCCCATCCTGCTGATTTCTCAAAAAGCCACAAGAGTTTACAAGAGAACATACACAGCATTTCTGGCTCCTAGCAAACAGACAGGGTATTCAAGGACACATTGTTGCTGCAATACTCAAGATCTACCAAAGAAAGACATTATGGCTTGACCTTATCTTTCTCTGTGACCACAGCCTGCCACCACAACAGAGGACCAAATGGGGACAGACCAGTGCCCTGAACTCACTGCCACAAGAAAAGGGAGCAGACAAGGAGCCTGCAGCTTGCAGACCTCAACTGCATAACTTTGCTGTTCCATGGTACCATCTCTCCATCCACACAGGCACACAAACACCCCCGTGCACCACTCTCAACTGAAGGGCCAGGAGGAGTCTACTCCTCTTCTTATAGCCAGCAATCATGTTAACACCCTCATTCATCAGTGTTTTTGAAATGCTGAATGCTACTGTGCAGCCAGAAGAACAGTAAACAGGTCTTGCTGATTTTTAAAGGAAACTTTTCATTCCCACACAGTGCCTGATGCAATTTATAGGTTACCTTATTATAGTGCCAAAAAAACTCAGGGAGTCAATATATCCTCTACTTACCCAGGCCTTCCACCACGCCATTGCAGCCTCAGTAGTGATACCTGGGTCTGTTGATGAAGAAAACCACACATATCATACCTCATGGTTAAAGAATCTGAGATTTGAAGGGGTGAGGGACGCATAGGGAGAAGAGGAAGAAGCAAAAGTTCTTTTCAGTAAACTTACTGCAAGAAAAATGGAGTAACTGTACTCCTCTGGAGGCTTGTTTCCTCTGGAAGCCACAGAATGTAACTGGCCTCTCTGTGTTAGGCACACGCAGGTATAAAGCATCCTTATCTACAAATTCCACAGGGCAACACCCTCAGACATGGCTCAACCTGTTTTTCACATATGATCTCACAGGGAGAGAGTTGCTTAATAAAGGAGGCTTCCCTTGTGAGGAGTCCTACATTCAGCCTTGTTGACTCATTGTAATGTTTCCACTGCTTCTCCCAACACACGCCCTTCCCTGCTAACATTTTGGCCTCTGGCACAGACACAACATGCAAATTACAACTGGCTAATTTCTCAGTTTAAAACTCCCCTGAGACTAGGTGAATTCTGCTACAACAGAATAAGCCATTCATTATTACCAACTCTTGCTGTCTCTACCAACCTGGAACTCTGTAAAACAGAACTCTGGAAACTTAAACTCTCCTCTACCTCCATTCCTTCAAAAAAACTTATTAATCCCCCTCCCCCAACCAACCACAAAAAATCCAAACCAAACAAACAACACACCCAGCCACACTCCACACTATCCATGTCCTACACCTTAGAGTGAAACTCAGTAAAACATCAGATTGTACAGAAACTGAACACAAGTCCTATGAGGTGAGGCTGAGGGAGGTGGGGTTGTTTAGCCTGGAGAAGAGAAGGCTGAGGGGAGACCTCATCACTCTCTACAGCTACCTGAGAGGAGGTTGTACCAAGTGGGGGTTGGTCTCTTTTCCCAGGCAGCTATCAGCAAGACAAGAGGGCATGGTCTCAAGCTCTGCCAGAGGAGGTTTAGGTTGGATGTTAGGACTTGATGAACTCAGAGGTCCTTTCCAACCCATCTGATTCTATGATTCTATGAAGGTTCCCCCATCCTACACCTAGACTTTCATGGCATCAGTCACAAACCATCTCTATGGTAGCATAGGACCAGCACATCTAAGGCTAAAACTTTCAGCAGTGCCAATCTCAGCAAAGTAGTCATAAAGCTTGCACCATCTGCTGTGACATGTTAAGGTTTAGGAACTGAGTGAGAAAGTTTCCTTTTTTTGCAAAGAAAAAATCCTGAATAGCTCTAAGAACTTTAATTTGGAGAAATGTTTCTGTGAAATCATCTGAAATATCTTATGGTTGTAGCAATATTTTCCTGTCTAGACTTTAGTCAGAATCCACCCATGCCAGCATTTATTTATTTATTTTCAATGGGAAGCTGCCCTGATGGAAACATTCCCACCAACTACATCTTAACCCTTGCTATGTAGGAGCTTTGTGCTCTCCCACATTTACAGACACACATAGGCTGCTGGGTAAACACCAAGCTATGGGCCTCTCGTATTTCCTTTGCACATACTGCTATTTCACTTAACTCAGAAAGGTCTCTGATGGGCTGGGAAGTTGCCCTGGCTATTCTCAAGAGCATGAGCTATGCCAGCTGCTCCTGCCTCCAACACATCCATCATATGGTGAAGGCAAGTTGTGAAGGAGACATTTCCTATGGTATAACAAGCATGCTGCTGGGTCTGCACTGGCTTGGTTTCTAGCCCTGTTTGAGAGGCAGGTAGATCAACAGTACACATCAGGGAGAGCTCATGCATGTTCCTTCAGTCCTCCTCCTCCTGGGGGTAAAATGCCTTCACAAGCAGGGTGCATTTGCTTTTGCTGGATCCCAATATTTGCTGCCTTTTTTCCTGGGTTGGGATTTAATTGGGTCAGCTTGCCATGGAGGTAAGCTTTCTTGATGACTCCAAGGATAAAGAAGCCCTTCTAAACAGAAAGTCACAGAGTTACAGCAAATGGCCATAGGTCACAGAGAAGAGCAAAGATCAAAACAGACAGAAAATAAGAAACAGTTCAAGTGGCCATTCTTGCCATCATGAGCTAAAAAGGATGTGAAGGGACACACCAGGAGATTTTAATGCATAGAAACACTGGCCAGGTTTTAAGAAATCAATATGGATGGGCTAGGAAAGGTCTAGAGAGTCTAAACCTGCTGCAAGGCTCAGAGCAGGGCTGCACGGTCTGAATAAAGACCAGAGCAGTCAGCACTCACAGGCCACTGGAGCAGGAGGCAGACACTAGAGTTCAATACCTCTTTTGCTTCCACAAATACAGTTGAACTGAGCAGCTGTAAACATGAACAGATTTGTCATCATTGCACTTCTTGTCCCTCCCTTAACACTCATGCTGTGCATGTGAGTGTGGTTCATGGACTTTACTATGGTGTACTAGAGAGACACAAACAGCTTTTACAGCACCAGGAAGCTGTAAGGGACAACCTCCCATACAGCCCACTGATTACTCTCAGGAAAATATAGAACTTTAGAAAAGGGGCAGATGATGATGCATGGGCTCTCCCAAGCCCAGCGTCTTACATTGTCACTGCCCTCCACCCCAAAGGCCATACTTGCATCTCAGGCATTACTCCATTTTGGAAAGTGAACTCCAAATGCACTAACAAGACTTTCTATAGAAACTTTGCTCAACATAATATTGAGGTGGTTAGAATTTGTCTCAGTGACTGTGTTTGCTTGTACTGTAGCACCTCACAAAATACAGCCACCTGCAAGAGGGTCAATCACGCCACAGGCAGAGACACCAGTGGAATGTCTGAAGAGTGACTCTTTCTCAAGCCTCCTCTAGGCTTTCAGAGAGTCCCTGCTCCTACTGATATGTCCAGCACAGCAAGACTGGGCAGCAACCTCCAGCAGAAGAACATCTTGCACCACAATCAGGTTTGGTTTGTGCATTTTTAAGCCATTTAGTCCAAATCAGTTTTCATCTAAATAAAATGCAGCATGTACCAGTATACTTAGTTTTTCTTGACTTTGCCCTTGGGACTTCCTAAGCTTGAATCAGTGATATTGGAGTTACCCCTGATATATACTCAGCCAGAGCAAGGGATGTCATAATAGAAACCACAAGGAGGATTTTGCTCAACCTTCTTCAAATCACAAAAATATTTAAGGCATAACAAAAAGGTGCCAATAGCCTTAGAATGGTACATGACTGACATTACTTCAAGAAGCTTTTGCTACCCATTAAATTCTGGCTGTTCTAGGTTGAATGACAGCAGTCTAAAGGATGCTCTAATTTAAACTTCTAGGGTACAGAGGCAGCCCCTTTTCCACCTATGGAATTGTGAAGTCTGGCCCTACACATGCAAAGTTTCAGGCCATGAGCTGACTGCTTTGAATGTGAAAGCTTATGGAAACCAGGTTCTCAACTGCTCAGCAATTTCATTTCATGGCTTTCACTTCTAATACAGCCTTTTCAAGCCATCAAAACAGCACAACCCAAACAAATTCCACACTTTGGAATTTCATCCCAAAGTATGCATTATTTTGTTTTTTCAGCCAGGAACTTGGAAATAAGTGGAATAATTGAGGAAAAAACAGACCAAACACAGAGATACATATTGGAAAGCGATAATATAATAATCATATAACATAACTACTTAAATTTTAAGAAAGAAGAGCATACTCCTTAGACCAAACAGGTCTTCTGCTACAAGGCTACAAAACTGATAACTTTCTCCAATCCAGTCTGTAAGCAGTACCATGCAGAACTCAAGTTCTGACAACAATCCAGTTCAGCAAGCTGCAGAATTACTTTTTTTATACATAACAGAAACCACCAAACTCACATATCACTATGCTTTCCAAGTCTGACCATTATCCCTTCCTTATAAGTCTTTTAGGTCTACACCCATACTAACAGCACCTGGCCCTACCTACCAGTGTCTTACACCAGTCTCTTGCCCCAGAAGCTTTGAGACAGACTTAAAAAACTCTTACTGTGGTTTACTTACTCTACACTGGTTTCATCCTGCTGATTTTAAGCCACGATATAAACAAGCCCAGAGATCAAGCACTACCTTCTGCTGCTCCTTTTTTTTTTTTTTTTAATTTTTCTTCCTGCTTAAATGGATACAAGCAGCTGAATGCCCTCATAATTCTTAGGAGCAAGTGCCTTCCAATCTACTAATCAGCTCACCATCACCTGAAATCAGATCTCTAAATGGGAGAGCTGTGTAAATTTGCCAGCAAGCCAATCCAAACAAAGTTATTGTCTGTTTATGAATGAGGTGTGAGCTGGGTGGGGAAAAGGGTCAGATGGTGAAGGCAGCAGTTTTGAGCAAGGAGAGCATCTGCAATGCAAATATAAAGTTGCTAAAGCCTAAAAAAAATTGTACTCATCTACCTGGCATCTCACTACTCACCCTGCCTCTTCCTCTTGTGCCTTTCAACCATGTTTCACAGTGAAAATGACCCCAGAAGAGGTTTATTTCCATTTGAAAATCACTAGCATAGCTCAATTTTCCAAGTATGAGCTAAGTATTATAAGAGAAAATTCACATCTGTATGTTGTGGGAGATGTTCAATCACAGAAGGAGCAACAGAGTAAAAACTCAGGGCTTGATTCCCCTCCACACCTCGGTGGCTGAGGAGGTCGAGCCCCGGTGACAGCGGGTACAGCCAGTGTTGTGGGGACTCCGCCCAGAGGTTTGCAAAGGTTAGTGAAGGGTGCGTTGACGTCGCTTTCAGGATCACCTTTGCTGCCCGGGGTCTGTCTGCTGTGGGTGGGAGAGTGAAGGCTAGGCACTAACATGGGCACAGCAGAGTTCATCCCTTTGGCTTGCGCCACCTCTGCACTGCTGCTGACTCTGGCTGAGCATTTTTCTGCTCATTCCTTTCTTGGGTTAGTGCTGGTGCCAAGGAATTCCTCCCAGTTGCCCTAACAACCGTTCCCCACACAAAGCAGGCAATTGCTGTACTTGTTTAACCCCAAAGGCCACCGAAGAAAGCACCCTCTGAGTCAAAACGGTCAAAGGCAGCTCGCTTGGGTCTGATGGGACATGACAGATGCCAGGAGTTCTCATGCCAGCAGAGGGTGGTAGGCAGCATTTGGCAAGTCTTCAGATGCTTGCCTGTGAAGTATTTTGTGTATGTACCTACCTCCCTCTGTGGGGATGGGGTTTTTGTGTACTCCTTGATGGATTAAGTACAGGTGTATGTAGACAATTAAATACAGTCCTACTGCTTAAAATT